TTTGAAGTATGAGACATTAGTATCGATAAAACCAATTTCTGTAGACAATAGTTTCGTTTTCAGTTACGATTTGACGATTTAGAATTCACTTGGTATCTATCAGCTTCTAAAATTCTATCGATTTCGTTAAATATATATTTGCTTCTTGTTGATGAAACTAGAATGGAACGTAGTGTTCGTGCCAAACGTCATAATTATGGATATATACATGAATGCATTTTCTTTTCATTAAAAATGAATTCTTTTAGTAAAATAATATCGCTCTCAACTTCTATGACCTGTTCTCAAGTACAATAAATTGCTTAAGTTTCCATTCCCTATGGTTTTATATAAATTAGCAGTTTGAAAACATGAAACTATTTTGAAATGTCAAGATGGGGTATGAGATCATAACCGGAATCTGAACCAATTCGGCGAGTTTGCAAGTGGATCCATGCATCGGATCGGGTCGAGTGCCGAGCACCCAATCCGGTCGCAAGACATTATGTTAGACATGAGTAGGATCATTTTGCCCATATCTATTTAGCATTTTTTTTTTAAACAATATCAAACCGTTTTACTGCCATACTCACTGAACATAGAAATACAATTTTCAGTCATATTATGTATTCATGTATGTCGAACATGATAATCTACGGAACACGGATATTTATGGTTACTTTAATATAAGGTTGTATTTATCTTTCAATTTCAGGTTTATTTCTATAGAATAAAAGATAATGCCAATCAATTTTTTGAATAGTTTCTCCTGTTGAATCGAGAGATCGAATTATACTTGGATTATCCTTGTATTTAATTGCTCCTCCGTCATTATCATTGGAAATATAGACAGTTGTTGTTTGATTACAATTGATTTCACCATAACAATTACCATGGATAATTATATGAGCTATTTTAGTTCGTAAATCAAAACCATGAAATTTACTACTACCATCAACTGTTAATTTAATAATATTAGCTGTATATCATTAAATACACTTTACAAAAACCATTGATAGTAGCATTAAACTCTTTGACATGTATACTTCCATAGATTGAATTAAATCCACTACATTCAAGATCAAATATATCAACATTAATACTGCTAGCGGAAATTTCAACCGATTCCATAGGACTTGTTTTTAAGTTACGTAAACGGTGAATATTTATATATGCATCTGACTTACCTTTACCACGATGATTACTTATCGAACATGTATGTGTAGAAGTTGATACATGTTGATGTCGTGTACTAATTAATGATGAACTATGAATGTATAAAATGCCCAATGGGACAGATGTTTCAATTTTTTCCAATGATTTAGCTTGATCACTGACAAGCATAA